CTCTCGAGGCCTCTTGCGGACTCCTGGGGGCCTCTTGGGAGCTTCTGGTGGGCGAGGGCTCGAAATGTCAGTTCGTGTTCCCCATCTGGGGCTCCTCTTGGAGTGTTCTGGGAGCTCTTTTGGGCCGTCTTGGAAGCTTCCTGGGCCGTCTTGGGGCCCTCTTGGGCTGTCTCGGTGGTCTCTTGGGGGCCTCTGGGCTCGTCTTGAGGCGATCTTTCGGGCCTCTTGGGCCGCCTTGGAGCGTCTGGAAGCCGAACTGGGGAGAACGCCAAAACCCTTCAAAACCCACTAAAAATCAGTGACAATTTCCTATTGGGCCCCTCCCGGGAGTGCTGTCGGAGACCTGCTGGGACGCTTTGGCAGCTTTTTAACCGTCTTGGAGTGCTCCCGGGCCGCTTCGGACCTCTCTTGGGCTGTCCTGAGGGCGTCCTGGAGCCATTTTAGAGGGTCCTGGGAGCGTCCTGGCGTCTCCGGCGGGGGGGTGACCACAGCCACAGCCACTGGGCAAAGTGAGGCCCCCCCCTGGTCCAGGACCCCCTCCCCATTATATATTTATAGTATACATTACCATCTATATACATATATATATATAGATTACATACATATACATATATATATATACATATATATACATATATATATATATATATATATATATATATATATATAGAACATACGTAAAGCATGTAGGATTGTGCACACAGGAGAAGGACAATCTATAGAAACATACGTACGTCGTCCAAGGCGCCTCGGAAGGCGCAGAATACTCCTCCAAGGCGCGGAATCATGTTCCCGGACCGCCTTCCGGGAACATGATGGGGACGACCTCCTGAGGGCCTCCAGTGGGCCTCTTGGGGGCCTCTCGGAGGCCTGTTGGGCTCTCCTGGAGGCGTCTTGGGGCGCGCTCAGGGCAATTTTTGGGCATCTTGGGGGCCTCTTGGGGGCCTCCGGGGAGGCTCTTGGGGGCCTCTTTGGGGCCTCTTGGGGCCTCGCGGGGCCCTCTTGGGGCCCGCTGGGCTCGCTTAGGCAGTCTTGAAGCCCTGTCGGGGCTCTCCTGGAACCGTCTTGGGCGGCTCCTGGGCCATCTTGGGGCTCTCCTGGGCCGTCTTGGGACGATTTTGGGGGTCTCTTGGGCCGTCTTGGGGCGGTCTTGGGTGCCTCTTCGGCCGTCTTGGAGCGGTTTTGGGAGACTCTTGGACGGTCTTGGAGCGTCGGAACCCCGAAAAAGCGACAAGGCCAAAAACCTCTAAAAAAACAATAAAAACCAACGATTTTGGCTTGTCGGCGCTCTCTTGGGAGGCCTCTTGGGATGCCTTCGGGGACTCATGGAGCTCTCTTGGAACGTCTTCGGGCCTTCCTGGCCATTCCTGAGGCTATCTATGCGCGTCTTGAAACGCTCGCGGGCCGTCTTGGGCGGTCTCGAACTGTTCCTGGCGGTCCCAGGGGCCCTCCGGGACGCTTCGGACGCTCCCGGGGGCGCCCTGCACCCCCCATGGCGATTACAGGCAGCGCCCGGGGCCGCCCCCGGGCCCTACTCCGATGTGTATATATATATATATATATATATATGTGTATATATATATGTATATATATACACACAAACATACATACATACATACATACATACATACATACATACCTACCTACCTACCTACCTACCTACCTACCTACATACATGCATGCATGCATGCATGCATGCATGCATGCATGCATGCATGCATGCATGCATGCATACATACATACATACATACATACATACATACATGCATGCATGCATGCATACATACATACATACACACATACATACATACATACATACATACATACATACATACATACATACATACACACATACATACATACAAACAAACAAACAAACATGTATGCATACATACGTACACACATACACACATATATAGATGTGTACATCTATATATATATATATATGCCCCCGTCCCCCAGCTTTTTACGGCTCAGCCAGAGCACTGTGTTCAGTTGAGTGCAGGTGAGCTTGATGTCACCAGGGCCCAAGGAGACGCCACGAGCAACCGCCCGCCCCCCCTGAGAGGGAGAAGCCCGCACCACCAGCCTTGACCTTACTCCAGGGAGGGCCCCAGACAGGCGGGCTCGGGCGACAGGCACCCCTAGGACAAAATCTCCAGGGCACGGGAAACACATCAGGGAACCGCAACTCTGAAGAGAAAAAGACCCAGGCAAAGACACGGAAGGTGGCACAAGACGGCTATGGAGTCCACGGACGGCTGGCCGTTTATTTGGGCGTTTCCAGGGGCATAAACCACTCGGAGAGAGCACATATGCCCCCGTCCCCCCAGCTTTTTACGGCTCAGCCAGAGCAATGTGTTCAGTTGAGTGCAGGTGAGCCTGATGTCACCAGGGCCCGAGGAGACGCCACGAGCAACCGCCCGCCCCCCCTGAGAGGGGAGGGGAGAAGCCCGCACCGCCAGCCTTGACCTTACTCTGGGGAGGGCCCCAGACAGGCGGGCTCGGGCAACAGGCACCCCTAGGACAAAATCCCCAGGGCCCGGGAAACACATCAGGGAACCGCAACTCTTCCATTGACCCCATCTCTGCGCATCGTTTCGATGGGCGACCCCCCCATATCCTCGCCTGGGTAACTCCCTACTCGCCTACTGTCACAGAGGGAGAGGAGGGAGGAAGGATGTCTGAATGTGCGTCCAGGATAAAGAGGGGTTGGTGGAGCGGGATAAAATTAGTGTTTGCTGCTATGCTGCGCCTGCTCCTTCCCATGTTTTTGGCCTCGTAACGTCAAGCGCTCGCTTGACCCCGAAGGCGGGGCTGTGCCTTCCGGCGAGCGCGCGCCCCCTTGCGCGCCTCCCAGAGGATGTTAAGACAAGGCTTATGTACACCAGTGGAAGCTCACGCGCACGGCAGCGCAGCGGTGCAGGTGGTGACGGTGGGAACCCAAAAGGCTACGGCAACCGCAGCCCCGCCCCTGCTCACTAAGATCGGGGTCCGTCTACGCCTCCCCCCTCGCGCATAGTGTTTGATGCTATGCTGCGCCTGCTCCTTCCCATGTTTTTGGCCTCGTAGCGTCAAGCGCTCGCTTGCCCCCGAAGGCGGGGCTGTGCCTTCCGGCGAGCGCGCGCCCAAGACCCCCTGGGAGGAGACGCAACGCCCACCTCCCCGCTGCCGTGCACTGTTGCCGGCCAGGGGCTCGTGTGGAGCTGTGCCCCTTGAGCAGGGAGACGGCGGGATGGGAACGCCGCAGCGGCGCCAGCCCCCCCAGGCAGCCTGGGCCCAACCCGTGGACACGCCCTTGCACTCAAGGGCGAAAGCGGCAACCGCCTCCACATGCCGCACCGCCAGGACCCACTGGCAGGTCTTGGACCTACCCCGGCAGCCCTTGCTCCGGCCCGGCAGCTCTTGCTCCGGCCGCGCCTCCCTTGGAAACGCCCTGGAGGCTCTAGCCCCAGGCGCGGGCGCGGAATCAGCCGCAGCGGCATGACCCGCAACCAACTCCAAAAGTTGGCCCGGCGGCCTCCCAATGGCCGCCTCCCAAGGAAGCAGCCGGCATGGCGACCGGCACCCGGCGCCTGCCTGGCCCCCTATCCGCAACGGAGGGGCCCTGCCAGGGTGGCCCCGGAGGCGACGTTGAGCACGTTGCACGCCACGCGGCTGCCCAACTCCAAGATGCGGCGAGATCTCTCGGGCATCTCCCACTCAGCTTGCTGAACCAAAGCGTTATCGATGTAAATCTTGGCTGCGCGGCCCTGTGCCCAACGCTTGTGCTCTGTAGTCTTCTCCAAGTTGCCGGAGGACATAAAAAAAAAACAAGTAGCGCCTCCCCGCCGAAGGCTGTACCCACGGACATCTTGCCATGGAAGCCGCGCCTGCTGGCACAACTCTTGCGAAGCCTTCTGAAACTGGATGGCGGTTCCGGAAAATATTCTGTCGCCCTGGGCGCGCCCTCGGCGAGCCCGCAACGCCGCCTGGATGACCAGCGGATCGGAGATGACCACCTTTTCTTCGAAGTTCCCGCGGGAGCCTGATTTGGACTCCGGGAGTAGAAGTATTGCACGGGAGTCGCGCTGGTACAGCAGAAGGCGCCGGAAACGAGCTCCTAGGATCTCTCCTGTGCGCAGAAGGCCCACAAACGCCAAAAGAATAGCAGCTGCGAGGTCGTCCCGGCCATTTGCCACCGCCAGGCCCGCCAGACCCCGAACCGCTAAGGCTGGGAGCGGGAACGCCCTGCACCTTCGAATAGTCTTCCGCCAATTTGCAAGGTAGAAGTTGCAGGTGCACAGGTGGCGGCGGCTGGCCGGCACGAGGCGCTTCAGGGCCGACACGAAACTGCCGCCCGGCTCTCGGGCTCGCCCTCCTGCCACAAATGGTCCAAATAGGCGCCCGCAGCACGGTCGAGGGCGTAGAGTGCGCTAGGAAGATTTTGCTCAAAAAGGCCCAAATAATCTAAAAATGTACGAATTCTAGCTCGATATCTTGATAAAGTCGCTGCCGCAACACCGGCCTCTTTCAGGGTGCCCATCCGTGAACCGCGGGCCCTCCTAGAGGCCCGCCTGGTAGTTCTCACTCCCATGGGTCCTGACGCTGCTCCACCCTCCAGCTGGCCTGGTCCGCAAAGTTCCAGCCAGAAATCGTCCACACAGCGAAAGGATAGGCATCGGCCGCTAACAAATAGCCAGCAACCTCCCTCAAGGGACCGTTCAAGCGGCGCGACGACGACCGCCCTTCACGGCCGTCGTAGCCATACTACCGAGCGGCGTCGTAGCCATACTTAGCGGCGCGGCGTTCACGGCCGTAGCAGCCATACTATCGAGCACATGCACGAAGCGCCTCGACACGCTCGAGACGTACTTCAAAGAAAACTTGACGCAGTTGACGAACGCAAGAACTTCCAAGACATTGATGTGCCAGCGCTACGCCAAGCGTAGCTGGACACCGGCTTCCACTGCCAACAAAAATTCTGGATAGGGAGCGGTTTGGCGTGAGCTTCGGAGCACCTCCGAAGCCCACAACCGGACATCTGAACCGCGATGGTCGGCCGCTCGCACCAGATCGCGGAGGTGGCCCTCCTCGCCGCCGGCTTGCATGGCAGAGAGCCAATCCATGATCTCCTGAACCATGACCTCATTCAGCTGCGCGTCGCCGAGCCGTTCGGTGGCCTCCCGGAGCTGGGCGCTGAGCCACAAGGCCTGCTGCCCCGGCTCCTGCGGGCACGACGCTTCGCCGTGCGTCCGGCATGCAGCCGCCACGACGTCCGCGTAGATGTCCCACAGCTCGTCCTCGCACACCTCGCCCTGCTGCCCCAGGCGCTCGGCAACGCGACGGTGCAGCGCAAACGAGTTGTGCATCCAATGCCTCCCCAACGCCTCCGTGAGAAATATCCCGGGTTGCTGCATCAGCCATCGCGCCCGGGGGAATCTCCAGAGCCAGCTGCTGGGTGGGACACCACGGCGAAGCCTGGGCGCACCAACCGTGCCTCCAAGGCCCGGATGGCGAGGCCGGCGAGCTCGTTCGAGGCCCGGAGGCGGCTGCGATGGTCGCCAGATGCGCCTGCGGCCCCCAGGGGCCGGCGGGAGCTCCGCAGGGGGCCGCTGCCGAGCCCTCCGGCCTGGCGCTCCAAAAGGGCGCAGATGGGCTCCAAATGGTCCCAATAGCAATGTTCACCAGGGAGTGCAAGGCGGCGGAGGCGGGCGCACTGGCCCCGGGCGCCTTCGATACCAAGATCGCCAGCAAACGGCGCGAGCACTGACACACCCCGACGGTGCACGGCCTCAGACAGAGAAGCGCCCGCGTCGCCAGAGACCTCCGCGAAGGCTGGGGTAGCCCCGAGCGCTCCGAGGCTGTCGGCGACCGCGGCTCCGCCACCATGTGGCGAAGCATCAGAGCAGCTGATGTGGGGCCCCATTTGCGCCCGCAGATTGGCCCCGGCCAGCGGCACGAGCGCGCTCAGAAGGAGCAGCTCCTCCAAGGCGCTGGCATGAACGGGCCCTTGACGGCCCGGAGAGTCGATGACTGTGAAGATGTCCTGCAAGATGGAGAACAGCGGGCGGCGGTAACCCGCGCAGAAGCACGCGAGGCCCGCCCAGTGGCGAAGCGCGGCATCCGTGGCCACCTCGGCGGCCGCAATGCCCAAGGATAAGCGTAACAAATGGCGGCCGCGCCAGCGCCTGTGGGCGCAGATGCCGGCTGCCCCGTCGAACTCCCCGCCCTGCAGGAGCGCCTGGAAAGAACCGATGAGCGACTTGGCCTTGTTGAGCGGCAGACCAAGGCAGCGGCACACCCCAACGAAACGCCGGTGCTCCGGCGACTCCTGCCCAGCCATTGCCTCGGCCAGGGCCCTAACCCGGACTCGGATGAAATCGAAAGAGTCCAAATACACGAAGGAGTAGTTCGGGCCGTTCGGGAACGCCTTGGATTTAGCCACCTCGGTAGCCAGATCGACCCCCGCCTCGCCAAAAACGAGGCGGCGTACCACCGCCTGGACGACGGCCACGGCGCCAGACCAACCCATCGGCACCGTCGTGAGCAAGACGCGGAAGGCGTCCTCTGCGCGGCGACCGAGAACGGTCCCCGAAACCGGGCGCTCATACACGAGGAAGCCGTCTCAGCTTCGAGGCATCCGCAGCAAGTTGAAGCAGCTGACGAAGTCCTCGCTGTCCACGACCGCGCTCTCATCCTCCTCGAGCACCACCAACATCGCCTGGGCAATGAATGGGAGGAAGTCGACATCGCCCTGGATTGGCCGCGTGTGCTCATTCAAAGGAGTCAATATGGATACGAAGCGTAAAAATGAACGCGGCACACCGTCGTCCACCTTCTCCTTGTCAACGCCCATGCCTCCGCTGAAAATTGGGTGGCCGGCCCGCCCTCGAACAAAAGCCGCCGGGGCAGCTTCTCGGAAGAGCCCTCGGCGCAGGCCCTCCTTGACCAATTTATCCCATTCCTCTTGACTCCCGTGTACCTTGGACCGGGTGGGCCGGAGGGGCCATTCCTTCCGCAGCAGCAGGCACTACGGATCTGACACCTGTGCAAGGAGCTCCACCCCCCCAGGCAGGCTGCGAGGTCAACGACGCCGACCTCGCCCGCGTCTGGCCACGTCGGGAAGACCAAGTCCGCAACCAAGTCGCGGCGGATGCCGGCGGCGCGGCCATCGCATTGGACGCGCGCCTGGCCCGCTTCCTGGACGACCTGCTGCACAGGGGGGGGCGGTTCGTCGTCCTCGGACAAGAACCATTCCAGCCATAGGCTCAGCCGGTCCATCGCTTTCTCCTGGACCAGCGACGCCTCGCGGGGAGGGTTCGTGAACCCCGGCTTCTGGCCCATGCGGCTGCCCGGGAAATTCAGCGCATGCCCGACGAGGCGGTGCCTGGAGGCATGTCCCTCGGACCAGCGCCCTGGACGGGAAGGGTGGCAACCACCCCTCTGCGCAAAGACCACCACGGGCAGCGGCAGCAGACTCCTCCGCCGCCTGCCCGGCTTGGCGCTGGAAGAGGAGGCCCTGACGAACTCCCCCGAGGGGGTCGGCAGGCGGCAGACAGAGCCCCAGAGCACCCGGCCCAAGGCCGGGAGTGCCAGCTCCCCAACCGACCGCGTCCGCAGGGCGCAGCGCCACTGCCGCAGGTCTTCGGCGGCCCCCGCGCTGCTGGGCTCGCCGGCCAGGGCGCCGAGGCAGGTGGCCTCGGCTAGCCCAAAGGCGGGCCTCCCCTCTCGGGCCTGTCCCTGTTCTTGCCCTTGCCCTTGTCCTTGTCCTTGCCTTTGCCGGAGCCCTTGTCGTGGCTCGGCTGAATCCAGGCCGGGCGCTGCCGGAGCCGCTGCTCGAGCTGCTGCTCCGTCGCTAGCATCCGGTCCTCGTCGCGGTCCATCAGCGCGATCGAGTCCGGCGCGATGAGTTCGCACCAGATGGCCCGATCCAAATGGCCGTCCACCAGCGCCCTCTCGAGCGCCTTCAGCCGCTGTGCCAGGAGGTCCGCGCACTCCCCGTACTTCCGCTGCGCGAGCAAGTCCAGGGCGCGACAGACCGTCCTCGCCTCGCGAGAGTACCGCGGACCCATGGACGGGGGTTCAGGATGCTGTAGAAGCAACGCATCGCTGCTGGAACCGGGCCCTCTTCCCCCCGACAAGACAAGGCGTCCATCCTCCCAAGGAGGCGAACGGCCAAGTTGCCTGGGTTCTTGCAGGCGCGCTCCAACAGGCGGTCGTGTCCGAGCCGCCTGCGGGAGGGAGAGGGCGCGCTGTGAAAACCCGACTCGCTCCGGTCCCGGGCACCCCGGAGCGGCTCGGCGCCACCGAAAGGGCCGCGGTCGACGCGTCGGCGGCCGGAACGGCGGGAGCGGCGGGAGCGGCGGGAACGCCGGTTCCGCGAGCGGCTCTGGCTCCGCCGGCGCCTCGGGCTCGTCTCGCGGCCGCCAGGGTCCCCGCGGTGCGGGCTCCCCTCTGCTGCTGCCGGTCGTCTGGCCGGTCGCGCTCAGCCCTTTGCTCCTGGGCTCGGCGGTCAGGCGCCGCCCTCGCGGGCAGGGGCAGCTCCGCCGAGGTGCCCTCGTCGCGTGAGCCCGCCGCGCGGCCGCCCGCCGGCGGGGCGAAGGCGTCGCGCGCCGCGCCAGCCGAGCGGCGGCCCCTTGCGGACTGGCTGCGCCGGCGCTCCCGGCTGCGGCGGCGCTGCCGGCTGTGGCCGTGCCTCTCCGGCCCGTCGCGGCGCTCCTGGCTGCGGGGCTGCTCCCGGCACCGGCCCCTCTCCGGCCCGTCGCGCCGCTCGCGCCGGCCCCCGTCGCTGCCACGCCGGCCCGCGTCCCGGCCAGCCCGCTTGTCGGTGGCCCCGCGGACTGCTTCTCGGAGCTCCCGGAGGTCCTTCTGGAGGTCGTTTGGGCCGCCAGCGCCAGGCGGCTCGAAAAGCTGCCCGGCCACCGCCGGCGCTGGCTCGCCAGCGGGCCGCTTCTCCTCCTTCCCTGGAGCGCCCGCTGGCCCCGAGTGCCTCTCCAGGTGTTCCCGGAGTCCCCCTGGGCCCTTGAGCCACTTGATGGCCTCTGCCGTCATGTCCGCGCCCTCGAGCAGCCAGAACCCGTCGACGTGGACCACGTCCTTCCCCTTGAACTTGCACCTGTCGCGCGAGGTGCTGCAAAAGTGGTACTCCCCCTTCTTGTCCTTCACCTCATTCTCCATCCACCACGCATAGAAAGCATCACTCGAACACACGAACTCCGCGGAAATGGCGTCCCCGACCTTCCCGGAGCCCAGCGTGCACACGATGCCCGTGCCCTGGTCGGCGTAGGCGTCGTCGCACAAGGCAATCTCCTAATATGACTGCCCATGGATGGCCTGGTCGCCCGCGAAATCGGGATCGCGGGCCGCCCAGATCCACGGGCCTGGCATGGGCTACACTCCCGGCGCGGCAACCGCGGACGGGCGAAAAGCTAACCGTTGCCACGGGCAGCGAGCCTGAACCCAAAAGGCTACGGCAACCGCAGCCCCGCCCCTGCTCACTAAGATCGGGGTCCGTCTACGCCTCCCCCCTCACGCATAGCAGGCTAGATGCGAAGCCAATTATCGCGCATCGGCCTCTTGCTGAGAACTAAGTTGGCAATCTGTTAGTGCTGCCACAGCGTCAACAACATATATGCGAGCAGGCCTGGTGCTAGCCCAACGACCTCTGAGAAGCGTTTTCTCTAGAGACCCATGAGATAAAAAATCAGCTGTGGCACCCCCTCTTCTGAACGAGTGGAGGGTGACTTGGTGCTGGCTCAGGCCGAGGGCAGCGACAGCCTGTCGGAACAGGCGGCAAACTCGCTGCGCGGCGAGCCGAGGAGAAATTCATCGGGCGCCAACGGCGCCACATACTTCACTAGCATGCGCACCGCCGCCTGCGAACGGACGACCGCCAGCTCCGAGCGCCCCCCTCGCCGGCTGGTCTTTGTCTTCCGCAGCGCCAAGATCGCCACTCCACGCTCTCGGAAGACTCGGACGTCTCGACGCCTGAGGCGCAGCATCTCGCCTGACCTCAGGATGCACGCATATCCTGCCAGGAGCATCGCGGCGGCCCGCCCGTGCCCCCACCAGCAGAAGGCGCCAGCGATGGCGGCTGCACACAGCGGCGACAGCAGCAGGGCGCGCACGTTGGGCTCCAGCCGCAACCACGCCTTCTGAGGCTTCCAGCTCAGCTTCAGTTTGCCGCTCATCCGCGGCGTTAAAAAAGGAACGGCCGCCAAGGTGTTGTTCACCTGCAGCAGCGAGCCATTGGTGCGCCACACGTGCTCGATGTAAGCGGCAACCCCCTCATCAACCTCTTGAACGAGCCTGGGCCGCTTGCCGGTCGCCGCCCAGAACGCCGGCAGCCTGCGCTTGGCGACGACGCGTTGCTCCCGTGTGACTGCTGCAACGCGCGAGTCACCCAGCGGCCGAGCTCGCCGCCGCGCTCGCGCCTCGGCTGCCCTGCGCACCAGCACCGCGCGGTCCACGGCGGGGGCGCGTCCTGCGGCAGCCGTCGAACCAGCGACTCGGGACGTCCGCTGGGTTGTCGCCCGCGTCGATGCACGCGTACATCGGGTAGCAGCCAGCAGCGAGGAGGTAGGCTGCGCGGCCTCGCATCCAGCCCCAGTCGTCTCGCACTGCTCCTGCCCTTGGCCAGGACACTAGCGGCCACCTGCGAGTCAAGCAAGTGGAGGTATATTGATCAAAACCTGGTCGCAGTCCGCGACCTCCACTTGACGGCGTTGACCGCGGCTCCGACCTCCAGCTCATTAATGTGCCCGTCCTCGCGCCAGGGGTAGCCGCGCCCAATCGACCACGTCCACAAACTGGCCTGCAGCCCCGATCTAGGCCACGCCTTAGCTCGAAAAGGGGCCTGCAAGTCGAGCCGCACGTCCGTCCCTCCTCGGCTAGCAATGCGCATGTTCTTACGCACCAGCTGCTGCTCAAGGTCCTGGTCCTGTATCTCGGTCGCTTTGAAATCGGGCGCGCGGCCCAAAGCTTCCGGGGCTATCCCCGTCTGCAAGCAAGGCACGATAGGCGGAGCACCTTGTTTCGCCTTTCGAGCCAAGAACTGTGCGAGGATCTAGGACACGACTTGAACGGAGAATGAGTTACCGATGAGCGACGACCTGATGATCTCTGTTTCAAGGCTCGGAACGGACTCCTTCACGGCCGCGCGTGTGCACCCGCGGTCGAAGCCCATCAAAGTCTCGCGCTCACCAGCTGAGGGAATCCGCCAGGCAGCACGACCGGTGTTCCAGAGCAGGTCCTCGTCCTCGAAAATGTACACCTGTGAGACGCAGCTAGCCTCCGTCCACCTCGCAATCGCGGCCTCTGACGCGCTCTTGATCCCGACCACCGGGGCTGGAGGTGACTTCCTTTTCTGCAGCTTCGCGAAGGTGGGCAGCGCATGCTCGGGCTCGAGCAGGCCCCAGCCGCCCTCAGCCCAGGCAGGAAAGTCAGACGGCGACACGCGAAGCTTGACCTTGAGGCACTTCTCCTCGTCAGTGATGTCGATCACCCCAGCACGCGCCTGCAAAGCCCACAATAGCCAGCAACGCCGAGGCCTCCTCACCAGGCCCACGCCCATCGCCTCGATTCTGTACGGCTTGACTCCCAGCTGCTGTGAGAACACTGCCAGGTCCCCCGGGCGCATCCCTGCGACGTTCTCCACAAGCCAGCGCGCGCGCGCTTGATCCCGAACGCCTGCTCTATCGCCTTGAAGGCCCACGGCAGCCCGAAGAACAGCCCGCTCTTGCTGCCGGAGAGCCCCTGCCCCGCGGCGTTCAGCCCGCTCGGGTCGGTGCACGGGGACCCCGCCGCGATGACGGCGAGGGGGGCCACCTCGCTCGCCACGCGACCCAGCTGAGCCCAGGCCTCTGACGTGACCTTGGTGATGTCGCCAAGCTCGATCACTCCTGGCCACCTCTGCCGCACGCAACGCTTCGCCGCCTTGTCAATCTCCGACGACACGTACATGACAACGCGGCACGGGCACCTCGACAAAGCCACCATGGAGGCCCCAACCCCTCCGAAGAGGTCAAAGAGCACGACGGTCGGCAGGGTAGCGCCGTCCTGCAGCAGCGCCCGCGGCATCCGGGAGCTCATGGCGCCGCGCGGCGTGAAGGCCAAGCCTTCCTCCCCGACTGGTTGGGCAGCAGTCTGGGCACCGTGCTGGGCGAGGCCCGTCGCGTAGCACAAGCCGCCGCCCTCCTCGCTCGCGTCGGTGGCCAGCACGACCGCGTCGAGCGCTGCCCGCATGTCGGCGTAGGCCATCGGCAGGAGGCTCACCGCTGAGAGCAGCTCAGCGCGCGCCTCAGCTGGCAGCTTGAACGGCTTCACGAGCGCCTTTCCCGCACTAGCGGTTGCCGCTCTGAGCCCAGGGAGGACCCAGACCTGATTGAGAGTGGCGAACAGCGGCCTCCTGAACTCGAACACCCTCGCCAGCCGCTCAAGGACCATAAGGCACGCCTTCGGGGTCACCCACGTCTGCTCCAGGAGCCACAGGGCCATCCGCCCGACGTCCAGCAAGTCCTCAATGGTGACCCCCACGCGCCCAGCGGTGCCGTCGACGAGAGACCCCATGCGGACCAAACGCCTCTGCCGGCATGCAGCCTTCTTGTCCGCCCATGGGACCCCCGCCTTGCTGTAGGCCTCTCGCTGCCTGAGCTGGTACTCTCCAATCGTGTTCTCGATCATGGTGGCAACGCTCTCGGGCACAATCTCGGGCGTGTCGAAGTCATCCAGGTAGTACTGCACCCAAGCCTGCCGCTGCTCCCGTGAGAACAGCGGGAGCGGCCGGTCACGCCTCCACTCGCTGGACTCCGCGAACCTGGCGCTGGGCGGCCCGTCTCCGATGCCCAGCCGGCGATGGAGGTGCTGGAACAGGCCGACCGCGGATAACCACCCCATCGGGATCACGGCAACGGACATGCAGGCCCACTTGAGGTCGGGCCTGCCCACTCGGGCGCCAGGCATCTGCTTCCGCACCGCCATGTAGCCTCGCCACTGCGGCGGCAGCGAGTACAAGTGGAAGGCACCTGACTGGTCATCGGACGACCACAAGAGCGCCTGCCCCTCGCCCAGGACGATGCCCGCCCACGATGCGCTGGTACGCGTTCTGGGGCACCATGTTGATGATCAGGCGCGTGACCTTCGAGAAGCCTGTCGCGGGGGTCCCCGTCTTGACGACGGCAAACGCCCCTGCAAGAACTGGTGCCCCGCCGACGCTGAAGATGGCCTCCTCCTCCTCGAATGGCTCGAAGATCCCTACTCGGACGGGGTGCTCGCACATGCAGTACCACTCCTCGTCGCTCGCTACCTGCACTGACGCCTTCGGCACCTCCGTCGGCCACTCTGAAGGGGGCTTCAGCAGGGTCGTCGGGTCGAGGAGCCACTTCTGCACGCGCGGAGCTGCAAGGTCCAGGGCGCTGACAGATCCCGCAAGCCCTGCAGCAAGCAGCCCGGGGAGGAGCTCACCTAGAACTAGCGGGCAGCCTCGCTCGACCTCCTGTCCGCTGTAGGCGAGGGCCTTCGCCTGCACGACCCTGCCCCACTCAAGCTCCTCGAGCGCGGCGAGCGGCCCCCTGCAGAAGTAGGGTGCGGCCTCGCTGATGAGGCCCAGGGCGGCCCGCTGGGCAAGGCTGGCCGCGCGTGGCCAGGGCGCGGGAGATCCGCCCTTCCGCCCCCCAGCCTCGAAGTTGAGCCCGCAGATGATGACCCACTCAAGGCCTTCGCAGCAACCCTTGTAGATCTGCTCGATATCGCGGTCGAGCGCCCTGGCGCTCCTGAACAGATTCTCCACCACCTGGAAAGACCCTTGCTCCGGCAAGGACAGCGGGAGGAGGTCCCGACGACGTGCTACCCGCGGATCTGGCTGAGCTGAACCAGAATGGCGGAGAAAGGACCCGAGCTCTCCTGGGCCCCTGCGGCAGGTGTCGACCAACTTCACGATGTACTCCAGACGTGTCCTGCAGCGGCTTGCCGCACCAGAACACCCTTCACTGCCGAGAGCCTGTGGGGCGGGTGTCGATCTCTCGGCCTCTCGCTGCTGCCCGTCTACCTCGTCTCGGCTCTCGACTGCCTCATCAGCATTGCCATCCTGACGCTGTAGGCCCTCTTCGACTCCTCCTCGCGCCTGGGGCGCTGCGCCTACAGCTCCTTGCACGACGGCTCGCCCCCGGGACGGGGCGCCACCGCCTCCTCCGCCAACATCACGCGCCGCACCGGCTCCTCGCACTCGCCCCGCACGTGGCGGACCTCGCTCGACGGCGGTGCCGTCGGCGCCGCGGCCAGCCTGGAGAGGGACTCGGGGGCGCCGCTCACTGCCGTGCGCGGGCCGCCCCCGTGGCGGCCTGCAGGAGGGGCCGCCCCCTCGGGCGACCTCTCCCGGCCGAATCCCTAGAAAGAGCTCTTCTTCAGATGCAGCCTTGCCCTGAGCTCCTCCCTCTTGAGTTCGGCGCGCGCGACCCTCCTGGCCGCAGTCTCCTCCGACCTCGAGGCAGCGCATGGCTCGGCATCCATCGGCACCAAGGCAAGCCACTGCGCCGCGTGCCAGCCCCCATCCTTGATGGCAAGGGTCCGCGCCTTGAACTCCTGCATGACCACATCCAGCGCCCACGCGGCCTGTCCCCGCCGGGCGGCCCCCGCCCCGCGAATTGCCTCCTCAGCTGCTCCAACCCGTTCTTGAGCAGCAGCGCAGGCCTCCGAGCGGCCAGCTCGACGAAGTAGTCGTGGCGCACCATCGCGCCCCGCGACTCCACGTCCATCTCGTGCTCTGAGTCGCCGACCTGCTCGCCATCCGACTCGCGGTCGCCAGACGGGGCCCTCCGCCCCGGCAACCTCTCGCACAGCTGCCGCTCGAACGAACTCCTCGCCATGCGGTCCCGCGAGGGCCCCCCCGCAGCAGCCCTCTCGGCGGCGCGCGCCGCCAGCACCGTCTGCGCGCCCTGGCTGCTGCGAGCGGCCTGGGGCCCGGCCAAGCGACCCTCGGCGCCCGGCCCCCCCCGGCGCTGCAGCAGCTCGGCCGCCCTGCCGCCGTCGGCAGACCCACGCTCCAGCCCCACCGAGGCCTCGTCCAGCGGGTCGCCCCCGCCGCGCCCCCCGCTCCTCGAACGAGGCTGCTCGTCCTCTCGCGGGGCGCGGCGACCGCGAGGCGTCGGCAGGGCGGCAAGAGCACGTCCTGCGCCCAGCGGGCCAGGCAGCGGCAGCAGCTCCCGCGCGCGGCGAGGCCCGGCAGGCGGCCTCGGCTGCTCCTCGAGGACGTGCGAAACCTCCTCGCTGCCTTCTTCGTCGTCGGTCGGCCCGATCTCTGCGCGCGGGCTCAAGACTGGCAGCGCCCTCCGCCGCGCAGGCTTGGGTACCGCAGGCGCCGCCGTGGCCGGCCGCCCGGCAGGCCGCTGGCCGCTCTCCTCCGCGCCGCTGGCCCCAGGAAGCTGTTCGCAGCCCCAGCTTCGCAACAGCTCGAGCGCCTCCTCCTCCTCGCTGATCGGCCGGATCAGGCTGACGTGCTCGACCGCCCACCCTGCAGGCCCCGTCGCCCGACAAGCCATCGGCTGCACGGTGCATACGTGCAGCAGGGCGTCCTCGGGCCGAGCTCCGTTCTCCCCGCGAGCCCGCGCGCACCACTCGAAGCACGCGTCTGGGGTTCCCAAGCTCTCGAACTCGAAGAGGAGGCCTTCCTGGTCGAGCGTCGACCCCCCAACGACACGGGCGATCTCGGAGCCCTGCGAAGCCCAGCTGGCGCCCAGCACCCCGACCTGCACGAGGTCGCCTGCCGCGAGCTCCAGCGCCTGCAGGGCCTCCGGCGCGAGCTCCGAGTTGACCCATAGCCCAGGCCGCGCCATGCTCACGCCGCAGCCCGTCCGCCGAGCACGCGCCCGGCAGCCGCGGCCTGCTGGTGCCCGGGGGGGGCGCCGAAGGGGCTCCAGCAGGGGAACGGGGTTCCAAGGCTCAAACTCCTGAAAGCGGGCCCTGAGGGAGCACTTGACTGAAAGTGCGGGCGGACAGCCCCCCCAGGGCCCTCGGACACAAGATGACTATGGAGTCCGCGGACGGCTGGCCGTTTATTCGGGCGTTTCCAGGGGCATGAACCACTCGGAGAGAACACGTATATATAAATAAATAAATAGATAAATACCCGAATGCGCGCGACCACCGTACCCGCGCTCGTCTTACAACCGCCGCGAAAATCTTGAAAAGGATGGGCTGTCATGAAGGGTTCTACGGCGCGCCCACCGTCGTCGTGCAACCGCCGCGCAAAAAGTTTACAGCGTTGTGCTGCCCTAAAGGGTTGAACGGTACGAGCCAAACAAATCGGCAACGAAATCTTTGATCTGACGGTCACCCCAGTTCCGCGGCGACTGCCTGGACTGATTAGAAGACAACTGTCTGAGAACCCTCAATCGTGCCAAAACGCCGTGCCTGGGTGTTACTGCGCGGATCCATATGTTTGTTGTGTCCTGAAAAACAAAGCCGTGTCAGAGCAATGTGTCCTTACAACCCTACGCTGGGATTTAGACCATACAGATCCTTGAAAAGGTTGCGAACTTTTGAATCGAACGTGCGCGGCACGTAGGCGGAACCGCATTTTGGCAAAGAGCCGCCCTCTATCCCTGAAGTTGTTGTGAACTTTGAAGACGAATGTGCAAGGCACGCAAGCGGTAACCACATGTTGAAAAGCCACCTGCTCCCCATCCGTGAAACTGATGTACCTCTTTAACGCGACTGTGCGCGGCGCTCAAGCGATAACCACAATTTGAAAACGAGCTGCCCTCCAATACGATACGGTTGAACACTTTGAGACAGACGTGCGCGGACCTGAAACGAGATGCACACTTCGAAAATGGCCCGCCCCCCATCCGTGAAGCTGCTGCAAAGCTCGAGCTCCAGGGACACGAGAGGTGAGGAGGCATCAGGCGAAATGCCCGGGCGCCCCCTACCGGCAGGTCCGGAGGTGCGGCAGGATCGTAAAGTGACGATCGGCGCCAGCTCGTGCTCACTGGCCCCACGGAGTGTCGCTGCGGAGCGACTGGGCTCGGCTGACTCGGCAGCGCAGTCGAAGTTCGCTCGGCTACGCTGGGCGCGCCAGCTGCTCTGGCGAACTACGCAGCGCGGACCCCCGAGGACCGCAATGCAGTCAGGCAGTTCATGGACCCCAGAGGACCGAATGTGTCTGTTGCGTGTTTTGCTTGCGCGGCAGACTGGGTGCAAGGACCCGAGGGCAGAGTGGCACTACAACGCGCAGAATAGAACATTGCTGGATCGTTAGGTCAACGACTGTAAATAATGCTTCCCGCGCGGGCGACCCACCAGTAACTCCAGATCAAAGACCATGCGATCTAGTGGGTCGCGGAGCTGCAGCACGAAAAACGTCTGCTGCGGCAGGGCTTGGGCAGCGAGGGCTTTACGCGCGGACGGCGTCAACGCCATGTAGGAGGGCTTGTTGTCGAAGACGAACTCCCCCGCTGACTGACATTTGAACGCGCCCTTGCGCATTGCCGCCGCGCAGGCCATTCGGAACGCCTCCACGCCGCCAGCGCGAATTCTCGCAAGGGATCCATTCCCAGGGACCCCTGTGCGTTCAGTAGGCGAGGTGCAGATAGTTCTCAAATGCGGGTGGGTGAACAAGACATTTCTCACGAAAGTAGTTCCGCCCTTTTGCGTCCCGATCATGATGAATTTCGGCAGCGCGGTCAAGTCAAAATCTACGGCGGACCCCGGCAGGTGGGTCGGCGCTGGTCGACCGAAGGCCGCCTCCGCTCGCGCACACCTCTTGCGCTTGCGTGTCCTGCTGAACCACGCTCTCTGTCAGCCTTCGCCAAGCCAGGCGCGCTGTCACCCTGCTGAGCCATCATCTCTGCCAGCCCTCCTAGCAGCGCCCACCCCCCCACTCGCGCAGATCCGCAGCATCCGCAGCCGCGCCGCCAACGGCCCACAGAGGACTCCACAGTACAGCAGCCTCGCCAGCAGAGCGCGACATTGCGGAGCTTCGTTGGCCATAGCATGCTGCAAACTCAGAGAGCGATTCGCGTTCCATGATTCAAAATGGCTATGGACCCCAACAGAGCTTCAGAGTTGCCCATTCGGATCTGCACAGCGGGTGAGGACGGCACAAGACAACGCCAATACGCCCCAAGACGACGTCAAGACGGGCCAAAGTGGCCCCGATAACCGCCCAGATCAGCCAGAACGGGCCCCAATAGAGCCAGAGGGCCTCACCTCAATATACGTACGTAACGCACGAGGGCCTCCAGAGAGGCCCAACATCACATAAGATAGTTTTACAACTTGCTAAACGGACCTCGAGACACACCAAGCCAAAGAAGATCAAGATGCGCCAAGCGGGCGCAAGGAGCCCCAAACTAATTCCAAGAGAGCCCCAGGATGGCTCAAGAGAGTCTCCAGAGATGCCCAGGACGGCCGAAGAGAGCACTCTCCAGGCATGGAGGGGACTGGAGAGGGGATGGGGTATCGGGGGCGCGACAACATGGATTAGCGATCCATGGGCTTGGCGCGCGGTCGCCGAATCCATGGATCGGGGAAGGTGCCCTCCTCAAAATGCGGCCAGTGCCGCCTCGTTCGGCGGCAGAAATCCGCGAGTTCCCATGGAAACGGGACCCGTCGCTAATCCACGCCGCCCAGGCCGTTGTCGATTGGGTACTTACATGGGACCCACGGGCCCAGGATCCATACCGTGCAAGATAGAACTCGCTCCACAGGATGCGACACGCACCTCCACGACCTCGGAAATGATTGACTCGGGCTTTACACCGCATTGGCGAATCACTTCAACTACCCCTTCGCAATCAAGGTCGGAAGGCCCCTACACAACTGGTGCGTGGTCAAGGAAGAACCAGAATGGGGCGTCGTCCCGCCCACTGACCACGTCGACACCATGCGCGCACTCAGGGGCATCCGTCAGCCCATTTGGGGGCCAACAGGCTGCGAGGACTAGGCTGTCCTGTTCCTGCAACAGTTTCAGTTCCCCAGTAATGTGTATAGATGTTATCCTGTTCTTTCTATTCCCCAACCATCCTGTGGCGTTGGGTCCTCGTTTTGAAGAGACAGCGCCCCGCGTCTCACCTCCCGCTGCCCTCCTCCCTTCTCCCATCATCGTCATCATCATCATCATCATCATCATCATCATCGTCGTCACCATCACCACTAGCATCATCATCGTCATCATCATCGGCATGGCCATTAGTTTCCAACCATCCTGTGGTGTTCGCATGGCGGCCCCGCCGCATTCTGGCGCACCCCTCACATGGCTCGTGGCCCCATAGGGAGCTCCACCGAAGGCCCCAGTGGCTGCGTTCGCATGGCGGCCCCGCCCCATTCTGGCGCACCCCTCACACGGTTCGTGGCCCCATAGGGAGCTCCACCGAAGGCCCCAGTGGCTGCGTTCGCATGGCGGCCCCGCCCCATTCTGGCGCACCCCTCACACGGTTCGTGGCCCCAAAGGGAGCCCCACCGAAGGCCCTAGTGGCAGCGTTCGCATGGCGGCCCCGCCCCATTTCGGCACACCCCTCACGAGGATCGTGGCCCCATAGGGAGCTCCACCGAAGGCCCTAGTGGCAGCGTTCGCATGGCGGCCCCGCCCCAATTTGGCGCACCCCTCACGATCGTGGCCCCATACGGAGCTCCACCGAAGGCCCCAGTGGCAGCGTTCGCATGGCGGCCCCCCATTTCGGCACACCCCTCACGAGGATCGTGGCCCCATAGGGAGCTCCACCGAAGGCCCCAGTGGCAGCGTTCGCATGGCGGCCCCGCCCCAATTTGGCGCACCCCTCACGAGGATCGTGGCCCCATAGGGAGCTCCACCGAAGGCCCCAGTGGCAGCGTTCGCACGGCGGCCCCGCTCCATTTTGGCGCACCCCTCACGAGGATCGTGGCCCCAGAGGGAGCTCCACCGAAGGCCCCAGTGGCAGCGTTCGCACGGTGGCCCCGCCCCAATTTGGCGCACCCCTCACGAGGATCGTGGCCCCATACGGAGCTCCACCGAAGGCCCCAGTGGCAGCGTTCGCATGGTGGCCCCGCCCCATGTTTGCGCACCCCTCACGAGGATCGTGGCCCCATAGGGAGCTCCACCGAAGGCCCCAGTGGCAGCGTTCGCATGGCGGCCTCGGGCCATTTCGGCACACCCCTCACGAGGATCGTGGCCCCATAGGGAGCTCCACCGGAGGCCCCAGTGGCAGCGTTCGCATTGCGGCCTCGGGCCATTTCGGCACACCCCTCACGAGGATCGTGGCCCCAGAGGGAGCTCCGCCGAAGGCCCCAGTGGCAGGGTACGCACGGCAGCCTCGGGCCACTGCGGCACATCCCTCACGAAGATCGTGGCCCCATAGTTGTGCTGCTTCAACAACCGCGCTTGGGCGTCGTACTCCGCCTTGTCGACGTGCAACGCCACCTCCTCCCTCATGGCTATCAAGGCCCTCTCCTGCTTCTGCTCCTCGGTGAGAGGGACGCCGTCCTTGTCGTCGTCGGCGCCCGCGAAGACGGCCACGAACATGTCCCTGAGCATGTCGGGCTCCGGCGGGAAGCCGTGGTCACATAGGGAGCGCGGGCGAAGATGGAATTCACAATTGCGGCATTCACAACTGCATATGGTTGGGTCCTTCGCCAGGCTAATGTTTTAATAATTCCCCAATTCGGCTTGCCTAAGGGCTTCTTACTTGGTTAAAGGTTCGTTCCTCGGGGGCTTATTGTGCCCGTTCCTTGAAGGTTCACCGGGTGCCTCGTGCCAAGTAATGCCAAGCAATGCCAAGCCATGCCAAACAATGCCAAGCACTGCGCCCATGTAATAGGCAGCTCCCCCCAAATTGGAATCGCGCTGGGTTCATTGAAA